AGAAATCTGGTTTCAGGGAAAATGGGATGCAAAGCAAAGAAAAACAAAACAACAACAAACTAGTTCCTGAAATATGAAGGAGGAGGAGGATCAGCAGCAATTTTGGATTTGACCTCGTGAGCTATGGATCTAATGTTTCTGACGTGCCTTCTAAGCGTGGACATACTTCCTACCAGAATTTGGGAGGAAGTTGAATGCAGGATTATGAAACTTGGAGACAGAGAGGTGGCTGGCTTACCTGTGAGTAGGAGCTTTTTCTAAGATTACCATTCTCAGTCCCTCATTTCCCACTTCCTCCCCTGATTCCCCACTCCTTTTTCTCCAAAGTAGATTACTTTAATAATTTAAACTTCGTTATGGTAGATGAATCTAACATGGCAGATCATATTCCATATTCCATCTGCAGCTCTATGTCGCTTTGTACAGAGAATAAGTTTGACTCGCAGCTCTCTCCAATTCTTCTCCCTACTCACGTCCCCCAATCAGTGTAGAGCCTACACAACTAAGAAGTCGGAACAAAAAATTCTCTGAATGCTTATGTTTTCTTCTTTACTCAGTACCTAAGAATCCAGTGTCTAAACATCTAAAGCAAAGGTTGGCACATGGTAGATGCTCAGAAGATATTTATTATATTTGAATAAAAGATTTCATTTTGATAAGTAGGTAGGACAAATTCTGTAACTTCTTTGGTCTTCAGGGTGAAGTAATTATTATTCTTTCAGATGTAACTTCGCCTAAGTGCTCATACTGAAACGTCTGACAGAGCTGAGATCAAATTCCAGCCTAATGTTGCTTAAGTTCTCTAGTTTTCAATTTCCCCACTTGTGAAAAGAGGACAATAACTGAACCTACCTGTAGATTTGTTGTGGCTTTAACTAGATAACGAATGTAGCATGTTTAATTTGAACGTGCTATCTGGTACATTTTGACATGCTATCTTGTAAGTGCTCAATAAATCTTAGTTTATTATTAAAATAAATTTGATAAATATATACATATAATATTTAGCATGATTATTATATTTCATCATTCATAAATACTAGCAGTTCCTACAGAGGCAGTTCCATTTATCTAGAGACTGTCTCACATAAGGAAACCTTAAAAAGCCCTTGTATTGGTTCATCAGTATCAGAGACTTTAGTGAGATGAATTCTAAAAACATCGTCTTATTTTGAGTGCAGATTCTTTTCAGCCCAGAATCCAGTCTGGTTCCCCGTGCTGTTGATTCTCTTGTCCTCTTTCTGCAACACTTTTTCTTACCTGTGCATTCTTTGTTTTTTTTTAAAGGTTATCACCTGAGCTAACAACCGTTGCCAATCCTTTTTTTTCCTGCTTTTTCTCCCCAAACCCCCCAGTACATAGTTTTACATTTTAGTTGTGGGTCCTTCTAGTTGTGGCACATGGGACGCCAACTCAGCATGGCTTGATGAACGGTGCCATGTCCACGCCCAGAGTCCAAATTGGTGAAACCCTGGGCCGCGGAAGCGGAGCGTGGGAACTGAACCACTTGGCCACAGGGCCCACCCCCAACATGTGCATTCTTACTTCAACTCCTCTAGTTCAGGCCTTCATTGGGTTTGACATCAATGCCCTTCTTTAGCCTCTCACCTCCTCTGCCCCCCTCTCCCAATTCATTCTCTACCTTGTTGTCAGATTAATCATTTAAGAGCCCAATTCTGATTGTGTTACTCTGCTGCATATCTGTCAGCTCCTTGACCTGCCAAGCTCAGCTTTCAACATTCCTGCAAAACTGGGTTTTCAACATTATCTCCCACTGTTCTTCTGCACTACCATTATGCCCCAACCAAAAGGGCCTCCCTGCCTCTTCTCCTATGGTTCCTTCTGTGTGGAATACCACGACTTTTGGGTCAAAAATTCACCCTTTCCTCTGCCTTTGATTTCAAACACACCTAAACCATGACCAAAAGACAAAAACAATTTCTTTTTTCAGAGACTCCATTGAAATAAATTCAAAATATGACTCTATAACTTAGTAAAATGTTGAGCAATCTATATATTTACAATTTGCCTGCTCAAATATTAGAATAGCTAGTGTATTCACAGGGATATATTTTCTAAATGTCACCCAGTTATTGAAGAGAGTTGATGTAACTCTCCATGTACTGCATCGCTTCGTTCAACCACAGGACCTGGCCCGGCATGTGCCATATGCTGAGAAGTTATGACTATTCACTTAATTTTATGATTATAATGGCATCCAAAGATGCCTTTGTACATTGCTTTTCACTCTTTATGTCTGTCTTTTTGCCACTATATTCCTAGCGCAATCACAGAGCCTATTACCATAGGCTGTCAGTAAATATTTGTTGAGCAAATGAATAAATAAATATGTGAATAAAGGAAAGGTACCTCCAACTGTTGAGCTTTATGAACAGAACTATATTGATGATCTGATAACATAAGAAAACATTAAAAGTAAAGGTTCAGAGGAAGAGACTATTAATTTGGGACACATGGTCACTACTTACATAACACTTACTTTTGTCAAAGGCCATAAGATATTTAGTAATAAACTTTTCAATCCATGCAAATTAATATTGCTTGCAAGCTTAGTGTAAGAGTTAATCATACAAGAGCTGAAGAATATTTGGCAATGAGTCTAAAAAACAAGTTATGGTGTTTGACCTGATGACATATGAAAATATGTTAACAGGATCCCATACAAGGACGAGCTCAGAGTCAAATTTTTATCTTCTTTCAAACCTAAATGCATCTCCTCAGTGTGAACTGCCTATTGATTTTGAAAGGCGATATGGAGTTACAAAATAGATGTGATGAGTTGGAATGAATTAGACTCCAGCTATATATCACTTGTTCTCAATGGGAGAGAAATTCATAAATCATAGAAGGGCCTTGAAATACAAGTTTTACGGAAAGATGGCGACATTTCTTTCTCTGTTAAATACGCTTAGGAGACTCATGAAATTTGAATTCTACCACCCCGAGGGCAACACTAACCTTCTTTAACCATCCCCTTTTCAGGAGGGATACACATTTATGATTAAGTATGTTTTCAGAGTTTGGTATCCAAACCTTACTGAAGCTTTGCAACATTTAAGTTTATCATTTCGTGATATTAACTTCATTGTTAGAGAAGTAGGAAGTGGGTATTAATGATAAAAGGAAATTAGGAAAATAATATTTGAAATATTAGAAGATCAGTCTGAAGAGTATATACTGAAAGACTCCAAAAGAGAGCTGTTAATATGACTAGGATTCAAATCCTGGCGCTTATTAGGTGTGTGATTCTGGGCAAGATGCTTACCTGTTCTTTGCCACAATTTCTCCCCCTATAAGTTAGGAATGATAACAATGGGACCCTGCCAGGGGTATATGGAGAATTCTACGAGATGAAATCAGTGTCTGGTACCTCAATGGCTGAGACAGAGAGATATGTGTTACTGAGCCACTTTTGTTGTCACAGAAGTATTAGCTTGATGTGTTTAATTACTTTTGGAAATATACTGTGATTCTCCATTTAAAAAATACTTCAATAGCTTTAATATTTAGTCTTTTTTTGCTCATTTTTAAAATTTTTGTGTACTAGACAACTATTTTCTCAGGTGCCACAGTGTGCCAGACATTATAGTCAAAGTTTAATTAAGGTCTAGGGGCCCCTGACTTATGGAGCTGACACACTAATGGCAGCACTAGAACATGGAAATTCACAATTACTATACAATATGAAATTAGAATGAACAAAATGTGGTGGAAACATTGACATTCAGCTTCCAATCTTCTTTCCCACCACTCATTCAACAAACATATGTACCAAGTGACTGCTAGGTACCATTATAATTTTCCCACTACTCGAAGGAAATCCAATAAATAACTTTGTGGTGAAGGGCCCGATGAGAACCATGAGTGAACGTAGGTCCCATGCAGCTGCAATGGTTGAGGCACCCAAGAGTGCCAACACCTCCAAAATCTCACCTGTGGTTTTGTCATTTTTGAATGCGACCCACTGGAGAGTCCAAGCTGCTTCACAGAACAGTTCCATCTAGTAAAGGCCAGGGGTTAGTGACGCCAAAGAGTCCAACACAAGAAGTGGTCAAAGCCAAGATTTCCTTGTGACGTCTCTCTTCTTCTTCTTCTCTTTTTTGTAATTGAAGTAAAATTGACATACAATATTATGTTAGTTTCAGGTGTACACGATAGTGACTTAATATTTATACACATTATGAAATGATCACCACAATAAGTCTAGTATCCATTGTCACCATACCAGTTTATTACGGTATTATTGACTATACTCCCAATGCTATGTCTTACATCCCTGTGACTTAGTTATTTTATAACTAGAAGTTTATACGTCTTACTCCCCTTCACTTGTTTCGCCCAAACTCCCACCCCTCCCCCTCTGTCAATCACCAGTTTGTTCTCTGTATCTATGAGTCTATTTCTGTTTTGTTTTGTTTGTTCATTTGTTTCGATTTTTAGATTCCACATATAAGTGAAACTATATGGTATTTTTCTTTCTCAATCTGACTTATTTCACTTAGTATAACACCCACCAGGTCCATCCATGTTGTTGCAAATGGTAAGATTTTATTCTTTTTTATGGCTGAGTAATATTCCATTGTATATAAAAACCACATCTTCTTTATCCAATCATCTATCCCTGAACATGGGTTGCTTCCATATCTTGGCTATTGTAAATAATGCTGCAATGAACATGGGTGCATAATCTTTTTGAATTATACAGCATTTTGTTTTTTTCGGGTAAATATCCCAGAAGTGGAATTGCTGGATCATATGGCAGTCCTATTTTTAATTCTTGAGGAACCTCCATACCGTTTTCCACAGTGGTTACACCAATTTCCACTCCCATCAACAGAGCAGAGGGTTCCCTTTTCTTTACATCCTCACCAGCACTTGTTACTTGTTGTCTTTTTGAAAACAGCCATTCTGACAGCTGTGCAGTGATGTCTCATTGTGGCTCTAATTTGCATTTCCCTGATGACTCTCTCTTCTTTCAGTGTACTAGCGAACACTGAAGCAGGGCGTCAGGCTGCAGGTCCTTCAGTGGCACCTCCTCCCCCATGCATCAAATTTTCTGTGCCCATCACGCAGGTAAGAGATCGGGAGGGCTCCCTCCATAGCAGTACTTTGCTATTCGATCCCTATAGGTGTGCTAGGGACCTCTCTGGGCACTGAGGATAGACCAATGAGTGACATTAATCCCTGGAGCCACTTGAAATAAGAGTGGTTTGAAATAAATTGGGAGAGGTGGATGGGGTCAATCGTAGGATTTGCAGGAGAATGCAGAGTAGGGGAGCTGCATAACTCAATTTTCTTTTCAGCTGATGTGTGGACAACAGTCCCCCTGGGCAGTCAATTGGAAGCCAAAGGTAGGGAGACTTTCTGCTTCTTTTTCCCCTGACTTTGACTTCTGTTGAAGACCTGGGACTTCCATGCCAGGAGACTTTGGGAGACAGTATTTGACTCACCCTTAAGTCTATTTCCTAGCCACCTCCCCTGGCTGTGGAGTTTTTCCATGCCATCTCCTTGGGGCATTTTGCACCTTGGGGAAACCATTTGTGTTTCCTCATCACTTTATTGTAGAAATAGGCACTTTCACAGACTTTACTATTAATCAGAACCTTCCTTTATTTCTGCATCCCCTTCAAGATTATTTTCATTTGTCTAAGACTGACTCTCCTGCCACTGTTGTCATTTAACTGTCAAATGATGAGACATATGACATCAAAAGTATAACCTACATCTAGGCCGTTAGACACAGAACTTGTCCTTTGATGTAAAAGTTTAATTAGCTCAAAATATTGAATAACAAAACACATCACTTTAAAATATTGTTATTGGTGACTAATTTTATATATTATGCAGTGTTTTTCTTCCCATAATCTGTTTTGTTTATTTCATTTGACACATATTATTGAGCAGACAAGGCACTGTGCTAGCTACCAGACCTGCATGTTTTGTAGTGCTGTCACTGTGGTTAGTGCAGTCATTTTAAGGAAAACATTTGGGGTAATACATGGAAGTTTTCTGAGGTTTTGGTTAATTAATTTTTTTTTACTGATTATATATATGTAATGCATATACGTATATGTGTCCGTGTGTGTGTATACTCGTGTGTGTTATGTATGTGTACATATATTCACACATGTGCGTGTATCTCATGTAATAAAATAGCTACTATTTATTTAGCTATCTCTTTGTGCCAAGCATTTCCCTGACATATGATGTAAGCCTCTCAGTAAGCATGCCGTATGTAGGCACTATTCACATTTTAAAGATTAGGAAACTGTGGGGCTGACTTGCCCAAGATCAGAAGATGGAAAAGTCGAGAAACCAGGATTCAAGTCCAGGTCACTGTGACTATAAAGCCCACGCTGACTGCCCCGAACAGTGCTACTGTTAGCAAAATGCAGAGTGCATTTGGGGCAAATAAATTTACTTCTAAGAAAAGCAAAAGCAGGCTTATAAGTCTTTGCCATCAAAATCACATTTCTGTTAAGGTGTTTAGCCTTTCTCCATAAAGAGCGAGTACTTCATTTTAAATAAGCACATATGGAGATTTATATTGTTGACTTCACGTTTCTGGTATTGTGCAATACTGATCTTCATTCTCTTCTCTTTGTTAGCCTGTTGCTCCCCTGTACATAAAAGATTGCAATAAGCTCTTATACCACATTCAAGGAAACACTCAATCCTCAGGCTTTTACGAGCTTTTGTAAAACTGTAGTGCTCTTGGTGGAAAACGTCCTGGCTGGTAATACAGTGAACAGATGAGCTCACCCCTGGTATGCAAGGCTGCCAAATTAGCTGGTTAAACAGGCTGCTGAGATAATTACATTGTCTGTTTTGTGACACATTACACCGGTGCACTTGGGATTAACCTGTTCTCTTGTGTCTACTTCTGATCAGTGTTTTAGACAGCCTTTTATCTGATGAAGGAGCACAGACATCAAAAGGGAAAGGGGCGTGGGGGAGTGGAAAGGACTCCCATAAAGCTGAAGAGTTAAATTTTCTATTTAAATTACTGAACATATATCCCTTATTTCCATAACTTTAGTTACTCTCTAGAGACCTCTGCTGGAAATGATAGGTATAGATTTTCCTTTCCAATTCACTGTTTGCATTTTACTGTGGCTGTTATATCATAAACTCGGTCACTAATTAAAGAATGAAATATCAGTGACGTGTCATGCACATAACACATTTATTATAAAGCTGTACTCAAGGCAGGACAATTTGCATCTTAAAAGTTTCCAAGGGGGGCCAGACCCGTGGCCAAGTGGTTAATTTCGTTCACTCTGCTTCATCAGCCCAGCGTTTCGCAGGTTCGGATCCTGGGTCCAACACAGCACCGCTAATCAGGCCAGGCAGCGTCCCATATAGCACAACCAGAGGAACTCACAACTAGAATATACAACTGTATACTGGGGGCCTTTGGGGAGAAGAAGAAGAAGAAGAAGAAGAAAGAAGTTTCGAAGGGCATCCTAGTGCTAGAAATATGCTGTGGTAGTCAGTCAGCATATGTTTACACATTTGTTAAGAGCCTACTATGGGCTGAGCAGTTATAACTTTCGGTTTGTTTCTTTGTTATTTTCATATTGTTTTAACGCTGTGGAAGCCCAAGTGGAATTATTTCTTTTGAAATTAAATGTCGCACATTATAAAAACAACAACAACAACCGTCCCTAAAGATTTTTATGGGCATTTAGTTCCATATCATTATCTTGAAGAGGAAAAATTATTTAGACCTTCTGATTATGTGGGAATGAAGTTCACATAAGATTTCATCATCAGTGATAATTTCGATCGAGAACAATTAAGGGAATAAATAGAAAAACCTACCCATTAACAGCCCCTGGCAACTCAAATTGAATTTAACCAATACCGAGCCTCTGGCTATAGGGAGATGCAATTTAAAGCAGGTATAATAGATTTCAACAACTAAAATTTGTTTGTCACACTGTACCAACTAAGATATTAGTTAAATGGGGCAAGAAATTTCCCTTCATGTTAATGAACATCAAATTTAACTCCTGCTGTCCATTTTTTTTTTCTTTCTAAAATAGCTATACTCGACTTGATAAGCCAGCATTCAAATGAGGTTCTTACAAACAAGTATACAAGCTTTTGGGGTGAAATTTAACTCAATTCCGTCTGCATCTTTTAGATACTTCCAATTTGTTTAAGACAACTTAAACCATTTTGGTATATTTTGTCCTTATAAATGCATCCACAATATGATGTCACATGCAAAGACTCTGCTAACTTCCTTTGCAAGTCTCTGTAGAAATGTTTCAGCGTCTGTTGACGTGGTAACCACATTTAAAAGTAATGCGTTTTCTTAAAGGTTTTTTAAACATTCTCATCACGAGAAATAAAGTCTGTGTTTACCCTTTTTACCTGAGTCAGTTCTACCGGTTCTAGATCTGTTTGGCTTTATTTTCATTGCTTAAATGCAGACTAAAGTGAGAAAATAAGGTAATCTTTGTTTTCGTTATCTCAACTAATATGCAGGATTCTTAAAATGTGTGTACCCTATGACTTGAGTCCTAATCTTTCTTACTACTCATAATTTTACTAAATTTTGTGATAAATCAAAAGCAAGTGACTGAGATAACCTTTTATGATAAACTTATTTTCCAGTCAGTTCAGAAACAGGTGATTTTACCTTATAAATTTTCAAAAATGTTTTTGACTGTGCAGCTGTGAATTATAACCGTAGCCTAATTAGTGCTCTGCCGTTGGACCTACTGAATATCAGATACCAAGACTAAAGGAACGTCAGTAAGATTTTTCTCTTTTCCAAACTTTTTACTTTGATTTAATCAGTTTCTATGTTTTTGCACAATTATTGATGTACTTGTAAGACAGATGTCTATTTTCTTTTAATCCAGTGGGTATGAGTACAAATGACAGTTTTTTGAAACACTTTCAATGGGCCAGCAATATGCTAAAGAATTTACATGTATAATCTCATTTAATCCTTCTAATGATCCATTGCGACATGATTATTAAATCCTTTTAACTGATAGGGAAGTGTGGCTTAGAGAAATTAAATAACTTGCTGAAGTTAGCATGGCTTGAGAGCAGCAGATCCTGAATTCAAACTCAGTTCATTTTATTCTGAAGCCCAACTTGAGCACAATGTTATACCACTTCTGAAAAGCACACAACATTAAATGTCCCACTCACAGACTGATGGCATCTTTTGGAAGTTGAATAGACTTTGCGTGCATTTTTCAAAAAGGGAAGAGTCTGGTGTTCAAAGTAGTACCATCAGGATTGGAACTCTAGCTTCCATCTCTGAAGCCCTTGACCTTTCCACTTTAGTGGTGGTGGCAGTGCTGATATCACAGCTTCAGATGCCTCCAGGAACTAGGTACAATTTCTACAATACAAAAAGCAGACACAGCAGTTTGGGGGAAGATATTGTGGTGAGCGATTTTGAAATAAAATTAGCTTGAGTTTGAATCCAAGAATGCCACTTAAATAGGGGTGTGACCAGCAAAGCATATAATATCTCTGGAATTCTATTTTCTCATCTGAAAAATGGGGATATTAATACATACCTTAAGTAGTAGTTGCTAAGATTAAATATGACACTAATGTGACTGGCACAATAAAAGCACAAGGTGGGTTGCCATCTCATCCTTCTTTCCTAGTAAATTTTTGGAAACTCCATGTATAGGCATGATGCGATTCGACATGAAACAATGAAAGAATACTACAAAACTGAATTTACTAAAGGGCAACCACGAATTGTAAGAAAAATTCTGTCAATATGGAATGGATTTTTAAGGGAGTTTTCAGGAAGAAAATGGGGCTTGTGATGAACCTTGAAACATGAGGGAGAATGTGTATAATTTGAGAGAAAGGAGTCATCTTTTTCAAGGAAGACAGCACTAGCTGAATTGTTTGGGTGTAATAAAAGGCCAATCCAGTTACAAAAATACCATTCCACTGAAAAGCTTTAATGAGACTTCTGAACCCCGGCAGATGACCCACTTATTTAAATACCACACAATATTCAACACTACAGAATTCCTTGATGACATGACAATTTACTCAATCTCTTGCACTTGGGTGTAATTTAATCAGCAAAGAAACTGAGGACACATTACTTGCAGTCAGCATATTGCTTCTCAAGTTAGCATCTGCACTGAGCCCCAACTGCCACGGTCCCGTGGCCTTCCTCTTTTCACCACCCACGCTGTAAGACCACTTTTGCACACAGATCGTGGAGGGGCTCTACTGTCTGCTCTGTCAGCCCTTATTTAATCTCTGCAGAGGCGGCGTTACTTTCATTCTAACTTATCAGTGGTTAATGTGATTAAATTTGCTCACAAACTTTTCTGTGAGTCATCAACAGCAAAAGTGGAACAAATATGGAACATCTGTCATTTATGTTGCAATCTGGGCACTTTCATAAACTCTTGGTAAGAGCACACCGAGAGGTGGCCTTTTGGGAGGGAAATTGTCAGTAAGTTTAAATTCACACACTCTTTGATTCAGCATTCTATTTCTAGAATGTTGTGCTATAGACAAACTTCCAAAATGTCCTCAGAAAAAAGTGGAAACAAGCTAAACGTGAGTCAAGACAGGATTGGTGAATTGGTTGAGATACAGTCATTCAATGAACTATTATGCAGCTACTAAAAATGAATTAGATTTGCAAGTGTTGATATGGAAAGAGTGCTAAAATATATTAAGCAGAAAGAAAGGGAAGTTCAGAACAGCACGCACTCATTAGATAGCCAGTGGAACCAGCACCATTTATTGGAAGGACGTTCCTTTCCCAGCCGCTC